CTGTAATAGGTATAAGCTACCACATCCAGTCTTAGAGAAGTATTTGAACCAATACTATAACTCACAAAAGTCCACTCACAGAGAGGGAAGTAAGGCCTATGATTTTAAAAGAAATGACTACACCTTTGGGAGGCTGAGGTGAGTAGACTGAGACCGCGGCCTGAGCTCGCGGGTTTGAGACCCACCTGGGCAAGCGAGACCTCATCTCTACAGTAAAATCAAAAAATTAGCCAGGCATGGTAGCGCGCGCCTGTAATTTCGGCTACTTGGAAGGCTGAGGTGGAAGGATCGCCGGAGCCCAGCAGGTCAAGGGTGCGGTGGCTGGGAGCGGCCACTGCTCTTCAGTCTGGGTGACAGAGTGAGACTCCAACTCAAAACAAAACAAAAAAAGAAATGGCTTGGTTTTAGATATTACCAAGTTTTGTAATTTTGGCAAGAGTTTCTAACACAGGTAAAACAATGGCTTGGATCTGGTCTCCAGCAAACACCTCTTCTGATTTCTTCACACACATGCAGCACTCCTCAAATGAGAGCCAGCCAGGATGCTGGCACATGGGCTGCATGACCCAGGCTGCCTCTTAGCCCTGCCCTGCATCAGGGAGAAGGGTCTGTCCCATAAGGTGCTGAGGCTACACATAGTCATTGGGCAGGGTCCAAAGCCAGTTATGATGCCTTTTACTGATGCTCCTGTGATAAATGACAGGGTTTAGGTTAAAGTAGTTTGGGGCCAGGCATGGTGGCTCACACCTGTAATTCCAGCATTTAGGAGGATGAGATGGGAGGATCGCTTGAGGCCAGCCTGGCAACACAGTGAGACCTTATATCTACAAAAAAACCCAAAAGTATGAACTGAACATGGTGGTGTGCACCTGTAGTCCCAGCACTCAGGAGGCTAAAGTAGAAGGATAGCCTGAGTTCAGGAGGTTGAGGCTGAGCCATGAGCCATGGACTCCAGCCTACGTGACGGGATGAGACCCTGACAAACAAACAAACAAAAATCCGGGCATGGTGGCTCACACCTGTAATTCCAGCACTTTGGGAAGCAAAGGCGAAAGGATCATCTGAACCCAGCAAGTCGAGGCTATGGTGGCCATGAGCATGCCATTGTACTTCAGCCTAGGTGACAGAGTGAGACTCCAATTCAAGAGAGAAAAAAAAAAAGGTCAGGAGCGGTGGCTCATACCTATTATCCCAGCACTTTGGAAAGCAGAGACAAGATGACTGTCTGAGTCTAAAAGTTCAAGACTAGCCTGGGCAACTTGGCAAGACCTCATCTCTACAGTAAATCAAATAATTATCCAGGTGTGGTGGCATGCACCTGTAGTTCCAGCTGCCTGAAAGTCTGAGGCAGAAACGTCACCTGAGTCCAGCAGGTCAAGGCCACTGCATTCTGGCCTGGAGGACAGAGTGCAACTCCGACTCAAAAAAAGAAAAAGAAAAAAAAAAGCCATACAGAATGTAATCTTTCAGGACTGGCCTTTTTCACTCAGTGTAATTCTCTTGAGATTCAATCTAGCTATCTTGTTTATAAATAGTTCATTCCTTTTTATCAGCAAGTGGTATTCCAAGCAATTGCTTTTTGGGAAGTCTCTACTTACAGGCGTTCTAAGTGGCTGGCAATGCTGTTTCTAGGTTATACTCGGCATCGCCCTTTCACTGAAGGAAGTGGCAAAAGTATCTTCTATGAACAGACACCAAGTAGTCCAGCCCAGCATGGGTGCCATGAAGAAGCCTGTTCAAAAGCAGAGCTGAAGCCAGGCTCGGTGGCTCAGCCTGTAATCCCGCGCCTTTGAGAGGCTGAGGTGAGTGGATTGCCTGAGCCTGCGGGTTCGAGACCCGCCTGGGCAGGTGAGACCTCATCTCTACAAAAAATCAAAAAATTAGCCGGGCGTGGTAGCACGCGCCTGTAGTTCCGGCTATGTGGAAGGGGGAGGTGGAAGGATCACCGGAGCCCAGCAGGTCGAGGCTGCGGTGGCCGGGAGCGGCCACTGCACTCCAGTCTGGGCGAGGGAGTGAGACTCCAACTCAAAAAACAAACAAACAAACAAACAAAAACAAAAGCAGAGCTGAGCACCAGGTGCTGGGCTGGGCTTATTTCATGTGGTCAGCAGGCTTGAACATTCACATAAACAAGTGCCTTACAAACACAGGAGAAGACCCACAGAAAGCCAGAGTAGGCTCTCCCAAAAAGAAAAGATCCTTTTAGGCCGGGCACAGTGGCTCATGCCTGTAATCCCAACACTTTGGAAAGGCAAGGTGGGAGGACTACTAAAGCCCAGGAGTTCAGGAACAGCCTGGCCAACACAGCTAGACTGTCTTTTGGCAAAAGATGAGAAAATTAGCCAGGCACGGCATGTACCTATAGTCCCAACTACTCGGGAGGCTGAGGCAGGAGGATCACCCAAGCCCAGGAGGTTGAGGCTGTGGTGAGCTGTGACCGTGACACAGTACTCCAACCTGGGCAACAAAGTGAGATCCCAACACAAAACAAACAAACAAACAAACAAATTATCCTCTAATGCAAATTTAACAGACATGAACTTTATCCTATTTTCTCAAAGAAAGTTATAGTTCAACCCAAAATAGAATAAACACAAGACAATCACTCAAAGGCAGAAGACCTACATGGCAGCCACTTATGGCCTCAACAGTGAGCAGCTACAGGATGCAGCAAGACCACAGGACAGTGACCACTTATGATCTGTCCTCTCCTCACCCCACCTCCACATACCTGCCCTGCACATCACTGCACTCATGAGCAAGGCTGTGACTGGAGTTTAATTCAACAAGCGCGTATCTAAGGATCAACAGTACGCCAAGAGTTGGAACGAGGAATCAGAATTACCAGAACCAAGCCCGTCCCTGAGCACCTGCACTGTAGCACACAAGGCAGACTGCAAATCCACTCAGGCCTAGCCAGCTTTTTCTTTACACAATATCCTTCTTTTTTTTTTTTTTTTTGAGTTGGAGTCTCACTCTGCCACTGAGTCTGAAGTATAGTGGCATGTTCCTGGCCATGGCAGCCTCCATCTGCTGGGCTCCAATGATCCTTCCACCTCAGCCTTCCAAGTAGCCAGAACTAGAGGCATGCGTTACCACGCCTGGTTAATTTTTGATTTATTGTAGAGACAAGGTCTCGGCAAGTTGCTCTGGTGGGTCTCGAACCCGCGGGCTCAGGCAATCCACTCGCCTCGGCCTCCCAAAGTGCTGGGATTACAGGCTGAGCCACCAAGCCTTCCTTCTTCTTTAACAGCTGACCAATGGACAACACAGATAGGAAATGCCAGGGTTCGCTATACCTGGATTTTCTCCCACCTCTGTCACCCCAAGACGTAAGACAAGCCTCTCCTCTCCTCTTCCTCCTCCTCAGCCACTCAACAAGAAGTCAGCAAAGTGAAGACCTTTATGATGACCCACTTCCTCTTTTTTTTTTGTGAGTCGGAGTCTCACTCTATCACCCAGAGACTGGAGTGCAGTGGCTGCTCCCGGCCACTGCAGCCTCGACCTGCTGGGCTCCGGTGATCCTTCCGCCTCAGTCTTCCGAGTAGCTGGAACTACAGGCGTGCACTACCACGCCCAGCTAATTTTTAATTTGTTGTAGAGATGAGGTCTCGTCAAGTTGCCCAGGAAGGTCTCGAACCCGTGGGCTCAGGCAATCCACTCACCTTGGCCTCCCAAAGTGCTGGGATTACAGGCTGAGCCACTGAGCCCGGCCTACCCACTTCCTCTTAATGAACAGTAAACACATTTTCTCCTCCTTGTGAGTTTATTTTTATTTTTAAAAATTTTTTAGATTTTATTTATTTATTTTTTGAGTTGGAGTCTCACTCTGTCGCCCAGACTGGAGTGCAG